TAGGGGGTTTAGGGGGTTTAGGGTCTAGGGTAGAACGATTATCGGGTTCAAGGTGCAGCGCGTCGTAGGGTGGTTTAGCGTGCACTTAGATGCAAGGATCCTGTAATGGTTAAATATGGTGCGAAGATTTCTTGAGTGCTTTATACAGGCTTCTTGAGCGTGTCGTGACAAATATGTAGAGTTCATAAGAGTGTCAGAAGGGCATTGGGCATTGTAAAAGTTTCTCAGGGGTCTTACTCTATTAGGGTTGGCCCTCCACTTGTTGCTAGGGGTTTGTGGCTTAATAGTATTTGGGATTTACTTGGAGGTTCATGGGTAGTCCTAAGTGGGGTTATAATTATAAGTAGGGTAACTATAATAACCCCCATTAAGGGACTTATAACCCTACTTTTAACTACCCATGAACCTCCAGGTAGGGTCTATATCGATTCAGGGTTTATGGTTTGGGCTCGGGGTTTAGGGTTTAGGGTTTAGGGGTTTGGGTTTGTAGGATCCTGACCACACAAATCTGTTTGCGAAACACAAAAAGGAGCTACAATGGAGGACGGTAGGTACTTGCGTATGATCATGGGACTTGGTAACCAAGGCTATTAAAGAAGGTAACCATCATCTTGATACCTTGCAACTACCAATCATAACCCGAGCTAAGCTACTTGGAACCTTACTTACGAAGTCCCATGATCCTTCAAGTAGGCTGTGAAATGCATTCTGGGTCTGCTGTGTGGACCGGGACCCTTGGTTTGATTCCTATAGCCCTGAGGCTCCATGCACCTATAAATAGTATAGACTGGGCCCTACAGTACCTGTATATAGGAACCCTTTAATGCATAAGCTTCGACCAGTATACAAATGCATGGAGCCTGAGGATGAGGGTTTATAACTCCTGACGTACTCATATCTCGATGCCCTGAACCCTACACCCTACCTAAACCCTAAACCCTAAACCCCCTAAACCGGACGAATCCTGAGGACGCGACGTCGCCTGGGGCGCCCGCAAGGTGAAGGCGAAGCACGTGGCCCCTCAGGAGCGCGTTGAAAGTACGGTCCCAAAGGTTTAGGGTTTAGGGTTTAGGGGTTTAGGGTTTAGGGTTCAGGGTTTAGGGCTAGGGTTAATGGGGTCTAAGTAGAATCATCCAACCCCCAAGATAAGAACCTACAGACTAGTGTCCCACCCCCAACGACTACCACCCCCCAAAAAACACGCAAGAACAACTTCTCATAAACAACACCCTTATACTGAAGCCCAATAAGGTAGGATATCCCCTTGACATGCGTATGCTTATGTCGTTGTGGGTCCCTGAATAACTACCTCATCAGTTTTGGACCCACCCTGCTAGAACCGCCCCCCTCCCCGCACAGAAAATTGCACATGGTCGTTCATATTGTAGGTATGGAGGGTGGTTAGGGGTCTACGGTAGACAATCGACCCTACGTAACCTAAAGCCCCATCCCTTCTGTGATGGCCGATTTATGTAAGGGCTTAGTCCTAAAACCTAAAACCCAAATTCCCAGTTCCTAAGCCCTAAACCCTAAACCGCCAAAGCCCTAAACGGCCGAAGGAAAGCCCGCCCACTGCAGGGACCCCGAAGGCGAAAATGGTTTAGGGTTTAGGGTTTTGGGTTTTAGGGTTGAACAGGATTTGGGGGGGTCTACTTATGTTAGGAACGATCAGGGGATATGATGACCGTCTATTCCGACCCTTTAGCCTTAGGGTCCACAGGACCTAGTAACCATGTTACAGTGGAGACTAGGTGATGATACAAGATTTGGGGGGTTGGCATAGTTTATAAGAACTCCTCTTCCGACCTTTGCCCGACGGGTCCAAATATCTGATTACTAAGTATCAAATACTCCGCCACATATTCAACTACATTTAATCACTTATAAGTATCATATACTTCCTCACATGCCCGACTGCGTTTCTACTAGCCTGAGCTGAACACAAGTACCTAATTCTTGAATCCTTTGGCTCCTGAAGGTTCTATTTCTTCGTAACCCTGTCGCCCCAAGCCCAAAGCCCAAAACCCCAAAAACCCACAACCATAAACCCCGAAACCCTACGAAATCTCTAAACCTAACACCATAAATCCTAAACCCTAAACATCAAACCCAAAATCCCAAACCCTACACCCTAAACCCTAAACCTACGTGATCTCTGCGAGCTGGGCGACGTCACCGGACTCATGGGCTGATCCTGCGCAAGGCTTTATAGGGTTTAGGGTTTAGGGTTTAGGGTTTAGGGTTTCTTTGACGGCTTCAGAGCTTTCGGTTCTACTGGGTTAGGGTTGCTTTGGGCTTAGGGCTTATAGGGCTTAGGGTTGTTTAGTTCAGGGCTTTGTTTTAGGGCTTATAGGGCTCAGGCTTGCTTACTTTAGGGCTTTGGATTTAGGGCTTATAGGGCTTAGGGTTGTTTAGTTTAGGGTTTTGGGTTTTAGGGTAAGCTTTAGTGTTGTAGGGGAGCTTCGTTTGTTTCTCATCCTCTTCGCGGGCCGGCCCATGCGTTTCTCGCTGTTGACGTAGCTCACGAGCGTCTTGCAAGTGACCAAGATAACATTCCCTGAGGGTCCATGTACCCAAATAGTATATACTTTGGCCTTAATGTAGTCCCTATATAAATACTTCGGGGCTAAAGTATCTACTATTTGGGCACATGGACCCTTAGGGATTGCATAGCAGAACGACGGAGTCCTGCTTCTGGCGTGTGGTTCGGACTGAGGATACCCTCCTGAACAGCCCATTCCCAAAGGGTCCAAGTTATAGAATAGTATATACTTTGGGGCCCAAATACCTACTTGGAGGATCACGGGACTTAGTAAGTATGGTTATAAGTCCCTTAATTGGGGTTATAAGTTTAGTTACCTTAGTTATAACCCGACTTACTAAGTCCCATGATCCTTTAAGTACAAAGTAGCTACCATGTCAATACTTGGACCCTTTGGGATTGCAGAGTTTCCCAGGCTGCGAGGCATCCGACGGCACACTCTACCTGATAGGGCAGACTTCTCTTTCTCACCCAGCTTTTGCTGCAGCCGCGTAACGCCATGGTGAGACTGAAATTCACCGAACAAACCCTAAGCTCGGATTGAAAGACCTTAGGACCAATCAGCCCTAACCTCTTGGAGAGAGTTTGCTTTTTGTTTTTAAGGGGCTCTTTTCCGACTGCGTGCAGCTAGAATGAATAGCCTAGGTTTGGGGTTTATGTGGGTTTGGGGGGGTTTACGGGTTTAGGGGTTTCAGGGCTGTCTGGCCTAAGGTGCCAAGCTTGTGCCCGGGGTCTTGGGTGGAAGACGGGCTTTGCATATGCCAGGCCTCGGTAACACATTCGCCGTCGTTTGCTTAGCTGGTTAGCGCTGTCGGACTGCCTGCCTGGTGCATTTTGGGCATAGGTGAATCGTCTTGTCTCTAAACCCTAAATCCTAACCCTATAAACCCTAAACCCAAAAAAAACCCTAAACCCAAAACCCTAAATTTAATGCTCAAGTGGGTCTTGTCTGAAGCAATGCTATGATTCTGTCAGCTCCTGTGTTCGCCCGGTCTGCACATCCTCAAAGCGTCAATGTCAATTCGCCCTGGGCCCTAAACCTTAAACCCTAAACCCCAAATCCTAAACCCTAGACTCGAAGCCCTAAACCCCAAACCAAAATCCCTAGACCCTAAACTCTAAACCCTGAACTACCCCACATGGCAGCGTTACCTTGATTCCGAGTATAGCCGATCGGACCTAAACCCTAAACCCTAAACCCTAATCCCTAAACCCTACCTCTTGTGGCACTGGGACCCTGCAGTCAGAGTAACCCCTCAACTGCCCTAAACCCTCAACCACGGTAGATAAGAGTAAATAAGACTGTAGGGGCCTTTAATAATTAGAATAGGGTTTTGGGGCATATTATACTAAAAACTATAATAAGGAACCCCTCAAGTAATATAGGCCCCTATAGTTGTCCCTACGTGTGACCCCAAACCCTAACAAATGGCAGGTTGTGACCCCTGTAGAACCCTGAAAACGGTAGGTTTTTGGGATCCTCAAGCAAAACCTACAATGTACGAGAAAACCGAAAAACCAAGAGTAGCCCTCACCTCATCTTCCGTCGACTGCTCTTGCTGGAAGATTGGCACGGAGACGGTAACCTGAAGACTCCCCAAAGGCCGAGAACAAGAAGCCTTCATGTAGCCACATAGTAGGAATATGGTACTTCCTTCAAGAAGATCCTTTAAGGGTAGGGTTCCATGGAAGAGTTTAGTGTAGAGGCCTTAATAATTAGAATAGGGTTTTGGGCTCCTTTATAGTCTGACTATACTCAGGAATCCCAACAGTAATGTTGGCATACAACAACTAGAACCCTGAAAGGAAATGCTCAAAGGAACTTCTATGACACGTAGAACGCGCAAAGTCAAACCCCTGAGGTAACTACCAGTGAAAAGCAGTCTATGGAACCCTTAAAGGGACTACTTAAGGGATCATGGGACTTAGTAAGTAGGGTTATAATCAGGGTAACTATACTTATAACGCCAATTAAGGGACTCCTAACCTTACTTACTCAGTCCCATGATCCTCCAAGTAGGCTTCAGAGGTTTCGGGGGCTTGGGACAACGGTTTGGGTCAGGATTATACCTGCTGATGGGGAACCCCTAAACCCTAAACCCTAAACGATTATACCTGCTGATGGGGAATACGAAGGCACAGCCTTTGGCCCCATAGAGTCCCTTCGACCATGTTCTTAGGGTCCCCTTTTAGGAACCAGTCTAGAAGGGTGCCGTACTAACTTTGGGGACCCAAAGAGGGGACCTCAATCTAGAGAACTACCCATAAGGGACCCAAAACCAACTTTTCGGGCAACTGAGCTTGCGCAGACTGAAAAAGAATCCTGCCACAGATCGGCGAGGTGCTTCGCTATTTGCTCCTCTGGTCCATCCGCTTGCTGCAGCTCCCTCACATTTGCTTAGCAACGTTGCCATGCTACCGTCTTTGAAGCAGCGAAGCACAAGCGAGAGGATGCAACAGAGAAGAAAATGCTCGCTGAAGCGAAGACCACCAAGACGAACTTGTGTCAACAACGCCAAGCCTTTCTTCAGCGACGCAAGTGCATTCTCAAGCAATCCAGCGCCTCCTTCTTGATATATGGCCATCTTGGAACATCGTGTGAACGCCGGACGCGCGCCTGCACTCCTGTTTACAGGCTAAAGCGGCGAGCTTCCAGTGCATCCCAGATCCAACTTTTACTATACAGACATCTTCCCAACCCTTAACCCTTAACCCTAAACCCTAAACCCTGAACCCTAAACCTTGAACCCCGAACCCTAAACCCTGATTTGAGGTGCCAGAAGACAACCCTTGAACAGAACAAGCACAACAGCAATCAGAACAGAATCAACAAGCGTAACATCCTGAACCGAACCTTCCCGAAAACCTGAAACGTCCCGAAAGGGCCACTGTACGTAAAATGAGACTACATAAATTTGCAATGCCTCTGAACTCCTGTTAAACCTCCATACAAGATACTCTCAAACCGTAATTACGACCTGAATTCCTAAACGCAAAAAGCACCAACACCCCGCAGAAAACCCTGCTGAGCACCGAATAAATCCCGATGAAACTGCAGAACATGAGAGCCAACAGGTCGGGAAACTTGGCGCCGCAGCTCCGTCTCCTGTTTGCTACATCTCTCTTCTTTTGTCAGTCATGAATCTGCCTAGTTGCCGTTGTTGTTGTTGTTGTGGTTGTGGTTAAATTGTGGTTGTCATTGCTGTGGTTGGCGTTGTGGTCGTGGAGGTAGTTGTGGTCGTGGTCTTGGTCGTGGTGGTTATTGAGGTTGTTGTTGTTGCTGCTTGTGTCGTTGCTGTTGTTGTTGGTGTTGTTGTTGGTGATGGTTGTGGAACTGGTGCTGGTGGTGGTGGTGGTGGTGGTGGTGGTGGTGGTGGTGGTGGTGGTGGTGTTGTGGATGCTGCTGCTTTTGTTTGTCGGGGGGCGGTAGAGTGTAAGTACGCCCAACGTGAGCTGTTTACAGACCTTACTAGAACCTATGTGTTTCTGTCATTGCTCGAGCTGTTGTCGCTATTATCTTCGCATGTTCGCCTCGTGTCCGAAGGCTGCCAACTCCAAAATCTAATGATCAAAGTGACCAAAGCCTCCGAAACTAAGAACCAAAAGTATGGGGCTATAACTCTTGTACAATAAATCCTACATGGGATAAGAAGATATGAGCCATACACCCTTCTAGGGCTCGTTTACAGCTCATTTCTCCCTCACTATGGGTAAAATTCGCCGTTCTCCTAACAGGCGCTTGCGATTTGTGAGACAGCTTGTGGGTCTGTGCACGATTTGTACGGTTTAGGGCTTGAGCAAACCTTTCATTCTCCTTCTGAGAGTGTGGTGTGTAATGTAGGGCCTAAATACTTACCGATACTATTTTTGGGACTACTATTATAATTTTAGTGTAACGGGCCCCAAAACCCTATTCTTGTGATTAAGGCCACTCTAGTGAGCTTGTTTACTTTCGTCTGACACAGACCGTAAACTGAGATTGCCCCACCGCAAGTGTGCATGGGTTTAGGGTGTCGCGCAGGGGCCTGAATGATCAGAACAGGGTTGTGGGGTGTATTGTCGTGACAAACTTAAACCGTACACCCTAAACCCCTATACTCTGAACCCTAGACCCTAAACCGGTTATTAGTAGCTTGCATTCGTGTCAGCAGCCCCGGTGGCTCCTTGAAGCGAAATCGGCGGCAAATCTCGTCAGCCTGTGCATTCATCACCTGCCATCGAGATGGGTTGAGGATTCTTTCATGTGTTAGGGTTTAGGGTTTAGGGGATTAGAGTTCTGTCATTCCCAAACTTCGGGATGCTTCAGGTGTGTCGGGTGTACGGTAGGGGCCATCTTGGCTAGAGCAGGTGCTGGTGGGATTTAGGGTTTAGGGTGGATCTTACAGAACCACAGATGGGAATGTTGCGCAAGCATCCCTGGTCATTCGGACCTGTGAACTAAACCCAGTATAGTATGTCTAGTATGTCTAGTATGTCTAGTACGTCCTTCGGCCATATAGGAATCCTTCTGAGGCCCAAGTATGTATATATATATATATACATACTAGATGAGTATCCCCTAGCCCCTGATGGTACTCTGTTCGAACCCTTATGGCACCCTTCAAGGAACCCTTAAAGGGAACCCTGTTCTAGAACCCTGCAGTCCCTTAAAGGGAACCCTATCATGGAGCCCTGTACTTAGTAGCCCTTAAAGGAACCCTTTAAGGCAGATGGATCTTCAGGACACTGATGAAGACCAAGGTTTTAGGGTGTGAGTATACAGGGCCTGAACATGGGGATTTGGGGGAGCATATTCTGGCATAAGCAAGAAGGAGGCACACGCCAGGCAAAGTATTGACAACTAAACATTCAAGCCCATGTAATATACCTTAACCAACCAAAAACCATCTCTTTTTGTAGAGCTCCTATAACAAAGTCTGTTTTTTTGTTGGGAGGGGGGGGGGTTGTAATAATAACCTGTTAGGTATAGGAAGGCTAAGGTACCCATGCGTGTCATCAACAGGCCCCAGGAGAAAGGTCTCGGCACCGGCTGTGGAGAAGAGGGTGTCTTTCCATTCGTGAAACACGCTTGAGCAATATAAGGGCCTTGATAATTAGAATAGGGTTTGGGGGTACATTATACTATACTATAACCATAATAAGGAACACCCAAAATACTATAGGTAATTATGTAGGCCCCTATCTTTGTTCTCTAAACTATGGTCGCCTGTATAAGGGTGCTTTACTACGATTTGGGGGCTCAAGAAGGGACCCTGGTCTAGAGAACTACCCACTTGTTGCCCCCCAGACCGTGTAAACTCCCACCAGTGGGACACACTGTCTTTAGTGGACATCGCTTTTGTCAAAATGAAGTGCCTGCTCTCTTCCAGGCAAGCTATCTTGCAGTACCCTGCCTCCCTCCGCCAACAGAGTCCGATGATTACTGGGAGCTTAGGAGACGAGGGACTTTCTTGGGGCTAAGGGGCTCGTTGAAGGGATCTATGGGGGTTACTAGAATTCTAAGGGCTACTCTGACTTTAGGGTTTACTGTACGCAGTACTACTCTTGGGATCTTTTACCCTAAGGGTCCATATACACATGTATCATATACTGCTTAGGCCCTATAGAACATGCATATGGACTACAATAAGGCTTGTGCATATACTGTATTAGCCGTACATTGCAAGCCTTAAACCCTAAACCCCTAACCCTAAGCCCAAAAACCCTACATGCCCCGAGCCCTAAACCCTTAGCCTTACATACCCTACACCTTAAACCCAAAAACAACGAAGCCCTTACAGAAGCCTTAAAGGGCAAAAGGTCATAGGACTTAGTAGCCAGGTTTTAGAGGTAACCATACTGTTCGTTACATTGAGTCCCAATTAACGTAGTTGTAACCTCACTTAGAAAGTCCCATGATCCTTAGAACCCTAAACCCCTATAGATCCCGTATAGAACCCTTCGAGGATCCCTTAAATGAGCCTTACTTGCCAAGTCCCATGCTCAAAGTAACAGGAAGCCCTAAAGACCGGGACGACTGCCTTGATCGACGTCTGCGGAGAGAAGGGTAAGGCCAGAATATTCACCACACGCCGAACCTGGGTCTCTTGGATCCTAAACCCTAAACCCTAAACCCTAAACCCAAAACTGGCCCCTAAAGTCCGAGAATAAGGAGTACTTAGACCCTTAAGGGTTGCTGTGGTTGCTTGTAGGGTGTAGGGTTTAGGGTCTAGGGGACTGAGGGTGTAGGGGAGGGTCCAGGGTTTAGGGCTTTAGGCTTAAGGGCTTAGTAGCTTAGTAAACAGTGATCAGTAAGCAATCCCTAGTTGCTGAGTTCAGAAGCCCCAAAGAGAGTACACTTTCAGTATTACAGCGGGGAATATTTTCCCGACAAGTGTAAAGTGTATCCACTCAGCTACTAAGAATCCTTGCTACCCAGGAACCCTACGCCCTCTCCTCCAACCACACCCAGACAAGCAGCACATGTTGCTGACTGGATTGAAGCCAGACCCGAGTATATCCCAGGTATATCCGGTTGCTCCCGTTGCTGTGTCTCGTATGAATGGGCGGAAGGGGTTGATTCAATTGCAGGTCTACTAACATGAAGTCAACAAACGAACCTACTACCTGCAACGCCCAAAACCCAAATAGTATGATGAGCTGCTACAACTTTCCGGTTTACATTGACCATTAACCCTAAACCCTAAACCCTAATTACACTGACCATTAATATGGCGACGTGCATCGCTTAGTGCGTGGCGTTGAGGTTTTTGGGGCTTGAACCGCTGGGAGCTCCAATCCCTACCTGGATCCGACCTGATATAGAAAGCCTTAATAATTAGAATAGGGTTTAGGGTTTAGGGTTTAGGGTGACCTAATATAGGGGGCCTTAATAATTAGAATAGGGTTTTGGGGCCCACTTTACTAAAATTATCCCCCCAAACAAGTATCGGTAATTATTTAGGCTTCTAGATGATGACCTGCGAAGACTGAAGCGGTTTGTCATCCTAAACAAAGAGCTTTTGGAGGGCCTCGACTTCAACCCCCAAGCTGTAAACCGCAACCCTAAACCACAAGCCCATAAACCCTATAAACATACCCTAATGTCCCCAAGCCCAAAACCCCCAAACTCTAAACTCCCAAACCCTAAACCCGCACATCCGAAGCCCCCAGACCCCCATGTCGCGCTTTGGTGCCCGGACAGACTGGACCAGGAGGTCTTCTCCTCGATCAGTAAGCTCCTGTGAAACTACAAGGCCGTTGCAATGAGGGGTTGAGGGCCTTATCAGCATGTTGCGAAGGTTTAAAGGTCTTTACAAGCGATTGCAAGGACTTTAGGGTTTAGTTTAGGATGTACTTGAAAGATCACGGAATCTGATGCTGAGTAAGCAGACGTGAGCGGGTCAAAATTAGACTTATAAGTACCGTATCAGGGGGCAGCCTGGGTCTTGCTTACCTGAAGCCGCTGTATGTATGTATGTATGTATGTACGTACGTATGTATGTATGTATGCATGTATGTGTGTGTATGTCTCTGTCTGTCTGTCTGTCTAGGCAGGTAGGTTGAAAAGTGGAAAGAGCTGGATTCGAGGATTTGGGGTGTTTAGATTGAAGAGTTCAGGCTTCAGCGTTTTGGACTGAAGGTCGGCAGGCCTGCCATGAAATTCTATGACCTTAAGGGTCCATGTGCCCAAATAGTATATACTTTGGCCTTAATGTAGTCCCTACATAGGTACTTTGGGGCCAAAGTATATACTACTTGGGTACATGGACCCTTAGGGTGATAGGGGTTTCATGGGGCTTCGCAGGGTTATCGGCACTTGTGTGATTGCTTCTTACAGCTCATAAAAAAGCCAAATTTTACAGCGCCGAAGCGACGCTCTAAACTCAAAGCCCCGAACCCCGAAACCCGGAACCCTTAAATCTCAAGCATAAACCCTCGACCGACTGTTCAAAAGGCCTGGTAGTACGAAGCCGACGCGAACTCAAAGTTTTGGTCCTTGGCCGAAGTAGGGCTCGGCTTTCGTGCCGCAGGGTTGCGCAAGGCTCGGTAAAGTGTTCTACGGATGCCTGCAGAGATTGAAGACTTGAAAAGCTCGATGTTCAAAGGTCGGGAGTTTTGCAGGAACATGTGGAAGTCTCCAAGACTGCGACCTCATCCGGTTGCTAACTTACTGCTGTTCGGCAGAGTTGTCCGAGAAAATCAACCTGCCCCAGTCTTTCAGGCATGACCATGATGGACTAATTAAAGGATCATGGGACTTAGTAAGTAGGGTTATAACTAAGGTAACTATACTTATAACCCCAATTAGGGGGCTTATAACCTTACTTACTCAGTCCCATGATCCTCCAAGTATCCATGTCACGATCACGTTCGGCACAAGGGCAGTATGAAGATGAGCGTCAGAACATTACACGATGTGTCATCGTAAGACCAACTTTCATAGGCATCTAGCAATAGTCGACACTTCCTCTTTCTCGTCCCGGTCGTCAGCATCGTCATCATCATCGTCATTGTGGTCATGGTCATCATCATGGCTATCACCTTCACCAGCACCACTACAAGCATTGGCACTACCTGACGTCGTGTTCCTCTACTGCACTTGTCACTTCACTGGGTGCAGCCATCTGAGGGTCCAGTGGGCTTCGTCTTGACGGGTTAATCCAACCTGAAGCCTCGAACTGTGCATGAACTCAAAACCAGCCTGTATCCTGATCCTACGGTAGTTGACCAGTATCATAAAGGAGCCACAAGTTAATCTTTAGGATCATACCGGGGGGTTGTAATACCCACAGCAGGTTCAAGGTTACCTAATCTATACTACTAAGAGCCTGTATCCTACCAGAAGATGATCTCACATACCTATAGGGCATGTCGTTGCGAAGGACCATGCACTCATATCCATTCAACGTAGCGTAGACCAGCTGGTTCACACCACCCTGCTACAGTACAGGTCAAACGAGGAATACCCCTAAACCCTAAACCCTAAACCCTAAACCCTAACCCCCTAAGTCCAAACCATTATGATGATCCTTGAGGAAGCGAGCTGACGAATTACCGAACCCTTACCCCGAAAACTTCAACACCGCAGCCCCAAGCGCTAACCGGAAACGGTTTAGGGCGTAGTGTTTAGCCCCAAGCCCTAACCGGAAACCCCACCTCCGGTAAGGTATCTGCTCCTAACCCAACCTCCAGGACCTAGCCAAAACCCCGTACGACTTAATGCTGGGCTTGAGTGAGGTTTGGGTTTAGGGCTCTGAACACCCCCAAACCCTGCGCAACCCTTATCGGATTTAGGGTTTAGGAACCCCACTGACGCTATAAAAAGCTCCCTCAGTTGGCCACAGGCACCGCGAGGGCGCCGACGATCTCAAGGCGTTCATCCCCGAACGCCGTGTCCAAGGCCTCCGCGCGCTTCTCTCTGAAGGTTGCCTAAATCCGAAAACACCTACATGTTCCAGGACCCCCCAATGGCCCTTTAATGGAGCCCTTATGGTCCCTAATAGTAGGTACTTGGGGTATAATCGAGGGTAGTTGGGGGGTCTAGGTTTAGGGGTCCTGATTATGACTTCCGTTTGTAGTCCATCAAATGGCAGGGTTTGCGATTAGGCAGCGGGAAACCACGCTCCATAGGGTTCCACAAGGTCTTAGGGAGGTTTGTAGGGCTCTCGTGGGCTTTACAGGGGTTTGGGGTTCAAAAATATATGGGGACTGTTCGGCTGTAGAGTCTGAAATAACTAGAAGTAGGGTTTAAGTTAAGGTTCAGGATTACATATTCTTAGTGTACCGAGGAAGCCCAACTGCACTGATTGAGCCATGCTCTTTCAGCCGGACAAGATTTCTTGCTATGATTCTCATAACTGGAGGATACTGGGCTGTCTGGCCACTTATTTGAAGGTTCATGGCTGTCGCAGATATGAGTATGGTTCGTAAACCCTAAACCCTGGACCCTGGACCGTACACCCGAAACCCTAGTTGCGATCACAGGGCTGCTTCCTTAGTTCACCCCAAGCCCTAAGCATGACATTCCCGAGTGAAGGACGTTAAGCGCCTACCTTAAGGACGAAATGAACCTCAAAAGGGCTTAAAGCCTAAATCCTAAACCCAAAGCCCTTCTTCGTTCAATGGAGTAGGACCCATACTCTTATTAGTGCGTTTTGGTCCTCATAAGGCAAGGTTTTGGGTCTAGCTTAGGCTGAAACCCTGAAGCAAGGGTTTCAGGTTTAGGGTTGGGTTTAGGGTTTAGGGTTTGGAGTTTAGGGTTTAGGGTTTGAGAGACTACCCACAGGACTCTAATTACCTGCAGCTTTATGGGTTCGACCTACGAATTAAGGGGTTGTGGCTGCTAAAATGTAGGTAAGCAGAGTGACAGGTAAAGCCAGAACTCTACATCCGAACGCTAAACTAAGCCATTCATTTTTGGAGAAAAGAGTTACTAAAGACACGACCCTTCGACCCAAACTCCACACAACATGGGTTGTGATCCTACAATTACCCTCAAGGTCGATGAACGGCTTCGGGTTTAGGGTTTAGGGTTACCATGTAGTTTAACTTTGGACCATACTCTACCTAAATTAGGGACTACAGGAAGGCCAGAGTACACAGTATGTGAATTCATGGACGCTGAAGGTTACAGGGTGGCCACTGGATCCCACTTAGTAGTAAGTAGTACTATTCCCCTGAAAACACTGTATGCATACGTTGTTTTGAATTATACTCTGCGAAGCTCCGTTCTAGTCTGCTATTCAGGCCACTTCTCATACTCGGGCTCCGAACAACTTTCGAGCTGGTATACTGTTTCAGCCCGCAGCACATCATGAGCGCAAGGTGCGCAGGCCGGGGGGTTTGTTTGATTCTCCCAGTGACCCTAGCTTCCCCAGCAGCCCTTTAATGATGCGGGTACCCTCTTCCCTACTACTCGGTTTGCCCAGCATAACAAGGGCCAGAAAATATGTCTAAGAGACCTACTTAAAGGATCATGGGATTTAGTAATTGGGGTTATAATGAAGGTATTTGTACTTATATTTACTTATAACCCCAATTAAGGGACTTATAACCTTACTTACTAAGTCCGTCCTATGATCCTCCAAGTAGTTAACCCCTAAACCCGTAAACCCCCAAACCCCAAAAAGGGGCAAGAAAGCATTTCTAAGAGACCTAGGACCCTAAACCCTAAACCCTAAACCCTAGACCCTAACTGCTACAGGTGCTTCCCTCCGCACCTTCAGCACCGCCAAAAAGTTCTCGTCTCGGAGCAACCCTGCAGTGAGGACAACCAGCAGGTACTGCGCCGTCCTCATGTTGGGGGGTTTGGGGTTTAGGGTTTAGGGCTTTAGGGTTTAGGATTTAGGGTTTAGGGTGTTCGAAACGAGTTTGGGATTGGAGGTTGAGGGCTGCGGAAGGGTTAAACCAACTATAGAACATCAGTCGGATCAATTCCAAGCTGTCGACCCGATCCTATTTTCACAAACACCCAGGTAACTTTGCGGACTTCATCAAACTTTTAGGGTTTAGGGCGCCGGGATATTCTGACTGCTTGATTTTGCGAAGCCCTCAGAAGAATTTCATCGGATGCCGAGATGTTCCTTGGCTAACCCGAAGGGTCCACGTACGCATACGGCTTACGGTTTAGTGTCTATAGCGTTTAGGGTTTAGGGGACGTCACGTGCCGATGGACTTGGGAGTGAATGACAACTCATGGACAGAAGGGGTCATGGAAGTGATCCGTGGAATGTTTCTTTGCAGACCCCGGCCCCTCTTCTCAACCAGGCCGCCAGCTCAGTTGCAAGACATGTTGCCGTGAATGATGCTGAATTGTGCCAGTGGGCCGGGACCCATGCCTATGCAAAAACAAGAAAGCAAATCGTCGCGGTCTCTCTCTTGTTGGCTGACATTTCTGAATCTGCTCTCTGGCGAAGAAGACGCACACATCAGCAGCTCATGTCGCAGCTTGCTGACTCCCTTTTCCACAGCTTGGTGCCACCCCGGAAGCTTGCGTTGGGCAGAAGCTCGGTAAGCAGCCGGTTGTTGATCCACGGGTAGTACCGGTGCTGCCAAGCCGCCCATGTCGACCGTTTCTGGTACTTCCAACCGTCGCCCGAAAGCGTCTTTTTGTCCACGAGCTCGGTCTTCTCGCTGCGGGGTCTAAAGGTGGATTCAAAAATAGGAACTTTTTGGCCAAAATAGATACGATGCGGGCGTATGGGCGGACCCCTAGACCCTGAACCTTAAATCCGTATGGGGCCTGTTAAAATCTAGCACCCCATGTCTTACCTTAGCTGGGACCCCGAAGACCCCCGAACTGCCCTTTAATGGAGCCCTGAACGTCCTCAATAGTGGGTGTTTAGATGTATTTAGGTGTACTACAGATCAGTTGTGGGGTTCTGGGAAGATACCGGCCATTTCAGAGTCACCGCGGTCGCGGTCCAAGTACCCATCATAGCAAGTGGTTTCGAATGGTGCTGGGAACCGAAGAGAATCCATTCTTTATAGTATTTATACTAAGGAATTCCAAGAGTAATCTCGGCAATTATTTCGGCTGCTTTCTGGCCTGACTTTTTTTATGGATGTAAGCCGCGCCAAACCTTCATCAGAACGGTGTTCAGGGGCGTATATTTCCATAGTGGTAGTGTCTTTGGAGCCTGTGGGAAACCCTGCGAGTTAGGGGTTAAGAGTTTATGGCCTTTGGGGGGGTTGGGGTTTAGGGTTTGGGTCGGCTCCAGCAAACCAGAAAAAGCATGGTACACTAATTAAGCCTTCAAGGTTCTGCACACATATTGCGGGGTTGGCTTTAGGACCTGTATTTTGTAAGCTTTGCCAATCTGTACATCTTTCCTGCCGTGCGCTGGCCAGACTTCCTGGTCCTTGTGTCTGGTCTTGATTCCCTACACCACGTCCGGGAGGTGAAGCGCGGAAATCAGAGTCAGAACAACCCAAAAACCAAGGACGTCAGCAATCACCGCCGCCAGAACCATACTTGCACATACTCGTAATCCTAAATCCTAAAAAAGCGTAAACCCTAAACCCTAAACCCTAAAGTCCTAAACCCTAAAAGCCTTGATCTCCGAGGTGCCGTGCTGCTTGAAGGGCATCCTTCACCGAGCTGACCTCATCGCTTGCAGGCCGGGTAGCCGTCGGGTTAGCAAACCTACATCCTCAACTCCGAGACAAAGCCCTAAACCCCAAACCTAAACCCTAAACCCTTAAAACCCCGAACCTGAACCCTAAACCCCAAGCCCTGAAACCCGAAACCTAAACCCCAAAGACCCCAAACCCCCCAAACCCTAAAACCCGAAACCCTAAACCCTAAACCCCAAAAGCCGGAGCAGGGCTTCAAGGTTTAATCATGTCTTGGAGCTGGAGATGTTTGGGCTAGAGGTCTCCGGGTGAGGCTGTATCTTAACCCTAAACCGTTTAGGGTTTAGGGTTTAGGGTTTAGGGTTTAGGGTTTAGGGAACCCCAAGGAATTCCATGTTCTGTTCTTTTGGTTTTATAGTGTTGAGGGCTTGGGCCTTGGGGTGTCTTGTGCCTGGAGTATGGATATCGAACAGCGAAACAGAACTGCTGTCGCTGCTACTCCTGCTGTTGTTCCGATTCCTAGTCGCACTCTTATTCCCACTGTGGCACTTTCTCTTACTGCTAGAACTATTACCACTACCACTAGCACCAGGCTTCCCGTGTTAGATGGGTCATCACCATGGTTGCGTAGAAGTGCAGCTTTTCCACTGCCGCAGGTGAATGCCCAGGGCTTAACACCCCTAATGAAGCCTAAACCCCAAAAGCCCTGAAAACCTCAACCATAAATACCCTAAACCCTAAGCCCTTCTAGCCCTTTCTGAAACCCTCAACCGTAAACTCTAAACCCTTGAAGCCCTGAAACCCTCAACCATAAGACCCTAAACCCTAAACTCTTAAAGCCCTGAAACCCTCAACCCTAAACCCTAAACCCTAAAAGCCTTGAAACCCTCAACCCTACACCTCAACCCTACACCATAAACGGCCTGAAACCCTGAACCCTAAACCCTCAAGTCCCCAAATCCTTGCTGCTCCTTTCGAGGCAAAGAAGCCAGCCAGGCATGTTTCCGGGTCCGCTCCATGACCATGTCCCGCAGAACCTCTTCGTGCTTTGGGATTCAGGGTTTAGGGTTTACCTAAACCCTAAACCCTAAACCCTAAACCGATAAAGGTTCCGGGGCAAGCCTTTGAGTCTTTATGTTTTGGCGGTTATGCAAGGGGTTCGGGATTTCTGGTGTAGGGGGTTCAGACGTTGGGGTTCGGAGTGCAAGGTTGAGTCTTGAGGATTTACCTGGGACTCTACTTACCTGCAGTTTTATGGGTTCGACCTGCTAAGTAAGCTGCTAAACTGCAGGGTAAGAGAATTCCAGGTTTGCTTTTTGGGATTTAAGGATCGGAATGCAAGGTTTGGAGCTTGGGGCTCCGAGCCGTTGGAGACAGAATGCAGTAATTAACCCTCAGGGTCCATGTACCTATATGGGTGGCTGTCAAAATTATGGTCCCTTTTGGGGTACCCTAAATAATAGGTGCCGTATTATAATAAGGACCCAAAAAGGGACCATAATTTTGACAACCACCCATATAGTATATGCTTATAGGTCTCACAGGGCTTCCTATACCATATGATTTGGTACTTTAAGGCCTAAGACCATATGACTTGGCACTTTAAGGCCTAAGCATAGACTATGGGTACATGGTTACATGGAGCCTCATCGTCTAACTTCAATTCCCATATCTCGACGTGGGGCAGTGGCCTAGCCACCTAGTCGTCTTTGAATCCTTCTGAAGCAGTTCGCCGCTGATGTGGGGCTCGCCATGTTCACCGGTCACTACAGCAGGGCTTTCTGCTTATTTAGTGATGCAGCGGAATCATGTGCAGGATGTCACCCGGGCATCTGCAGTTACTCTACAGGACTGTAACAGTAACCTTTAAACCCAGAAAGCGATTCGGGGCCTAGGCAGGTGCATCTAAAATTTAAAGGGTCCTTGCAGGAAAAACAGCCAGGCCCGCACCACCGAACCCTTGCAGTGCTTGGGCGTTTGGGGCTGAGGGTTCAAGGTTACAAGGTTGGATTTTTTAAGTGCGATGCGCCTCTTTTCCAAGATGCACTGCTCTCATCGGGCTCACACTGCAAGAACATCATCTGTTTGCGAAAACCAAACAGACGTTAGGCACTGCAGGCTCGATGATGATGTATGTGGTTGGGTCACGTTCACGTCGTCCACACATGTTCCTTTCACCAGGTTTCTTTGGCCTGATCTTCATTCAACAATGTTTAAGGTTTCGGGGTTTAGGCTCCAGCACGGAGCCTGCAAAAAATCAAAACAAAGGAATACACCAGAGTTTCATAGACGGATTCTCACTATGGTTTGAGGTACGCAGTGCTTGAGATGAGGGGTCTGGAAATCTCCGACAGGGTTTACGGATTGATTCATACGCCCAATCCTTACGGACATGTCCATGCGAAAGAACACCCGAACCTCAATGCCCCGAAGGCCTACACTACCCGGACTTTCAAAACAGGGGACCCTCGCTTAACCCTAAACCCTGAAGCCCCGAAACCTTAAACTTAATCCTACACCTTGAGGCCCTAAACCAAATCATGAATCCTAAACCTTGAAACACGAAACCTCTGCTGTGCAGTTTAGCTCCAATTGCGCCCTATACATTTCGAATATGGTTTGGGGTATAGTATACTATGGCCTGAAACCCTGGCCTAAAAACCCTGAACCCCCAGACCCTAAATCCTTAACCCTGGCACCTGGCAGGTCATTCGGCCTTCAGAGCTGCCGAGAGCTCCGAGCCTGGATGTCGGTTTTTTCTTTTCTATGGGCAGCATGTTCGGGTTTATGGGTTTAGGGTTTACTGTAGGGCTTAAGGTTTAGGGTTTAAGGTTTAGGGCTTAGGGATTGGGGTTTAAGGTCACTGGGTCTTAAACCATATAGCTGGTAACCTACTAGTTAAGTAACTGGAGCCCTAGGGTATGGCAGTGCAATCGTGTGGTGGCGTAGTAGCATACTAAAGTAGTAAGAGCTGCATAGCGGTATAGTGGTATAGAAGTATCACGGTATGGTGGTGTAATGGAAAGTCGTACAGTAGCAGCAAAGTGGCACAGTAGTATAGTAGTAGTCTAGCGGCATGGTAGTATAACAGTACAACATGGCAGTGTGGTAGCACCCAAGCATACCAGCATCGTGGCATGGTAGTACCCAAGTACGGAAGTATACCCAAAGTATGGTAGTCGTGTTGTGGTAATCATGACACAGCCCTGACGCTCTCACGACTCGCAGTGATAGGGTATCGCCGGGCTTCTCGGGCAGGCCAGTGTCGCTCGAAAAGCAGTTTAACATCAAAGAACGTATGCCACGAGACGCCATGGAGCATGTTTTGGTTTATCAACCCGCAACGCATCCCCTGACTCCTGATTTATGGGGGCAGGCAGAAGCAGAAACGGGTTCGAGGTTGAATTCTTGAAAGGCTTGATGTGCTAAGGGCTTAGGAGCAAGGGTTTAGTAGATGATTCTTTCAGACATGGTTCCGAGGATTCCTGTCAATGTTGCTTTCATTACGGGCTCTGGTCTCTTCAGTCGGTAACAGTTACAGCCACACCAACGCCTGTCGGGTCTAGGATGCCGATCCGGGATACATGCATTATCGAAAATGCAAGAAACAAAAGAGGACGACCCAAAGTACCCGCAACCAAATCCTCATAAACTTTCAGCATGAGGCATGAAATGGAAAATTTCGGAAACTCAGCCCTAAACCCTAAACAGTATACAGGGAACAAATAAAGTTTGAAAGAGTTGGTGCTTCAGACTGCAACGTTTTGGGTTCTACCGTCCTGAGTTTACATGTAAGGGAAGCAGTGGTCAATTTGGCAACTATCCAGCACAGAAACTCGTAGGCATGAATGAAAACTCGACATGTGCCTGAACGTGTAGACTACATGTAACTACTCGTATCTGCGACGAGGCTACGCGGCTGCTTCAACGTATGTGGTGCCCGGGAGGATGGAAACTGTGCATATAACAGATAAAGGCCATGACACGCGAGGCTGGGACAAAAGCGCGACATGCACCTACATCTTGAAGCTTACGGCCTGCTAGAACCAGTTTCATCATTGAACACCAATCGTTGGAGTGCGACAACCTCAACCACACAAAAGCGGCCTGACTTGGTACTGCAAATACCTTGAGCTATCGAGCTTCGTCAGCTTGCACCAGAAGTCCAGCGCCACCGGAACGCCGGAGTGGCCTCCTGCCAGAAATCCTACGATCAGGGACCCCAAGACCGGGCAAGTTGCAGTATGATCCTCCTCCAAAATCCAAACAACAAGCCGTAAATGGGAGCCTTTCAAGTTTCTCCTTCGTGGAATTGGCGCGTCGTTGCGAAGAAGCAGGTCGTATACACACAGATCGACGTCAACACGTAAACCATGCCAGCTGTCGCTAGTCCGGGCCACATCGACACCACGAACCGCTGAAAACATCTGGGACCTTAGACTGTTCCTGGGACTCTGGTTACCTGCAGTTTTATGGGTTGTACCTACTAATCAAGGGGTACTGGCTGCTGAACTGTAGGCAAAGAAAGTTACTGGATTCAGGCCCTTTGCTCTAGCCAGGGTGCTCGCTGTGCACCTAAAGGTACTTGACTAATGATGTAGCTCTACTCAGAGTTACCTATATAAACCCGACGGTTCAGGTATTTGTAACCTTGCTTACTAAGTCCCAAGACGCTCCAAGCATGCATCGTGGCAGGTTCCTCGAGCCAGCTCCACCTAGTAACGTGTTAGTTAACCCGAAGCATAAGTACTTAGATGAGCCTGTATGGGGGATACTGACGAACCGTAATAATGATTCCGAATAACATCCGAACCGTACTTTGTGCTGTGTGTAGCTTAGGACGTTGCACCCCGAAACTGTAAGCCCTAAAGCCCTTTTGGGTGTTGCATGATACCTAGTCTGTCCCTAAATTTATGAATGGACCCGGCTGCAAGTTACATCTGAGGAAGCACAGAGCAAGTGCACAGCAAGGGTTTAGGGTTCAGAGCTTATGACGCCGTAATTCTCATGACGGCCACCAAGATACACTGCTAGCACCTGACCAACGTCCTACAAGCAAGACACAACAAAACACGCAGCGAACCTCGTCAGACTTTGACATCAAAAAAACACATAGCTCACTTTAATGTAGCTTTCGCTATAAGCATATATTGAGCACACCCCACATGGTTTTCAATGCTGAAATTGTACACAAGCACAGCCCCACACCCTTAACGCAGCATGAAGGTCGACAGAACTCTAGTTGCTGAGCTCATAAACCCCCAAAAAGTGCACCTTCAGTTCTATATGAGATTATACGATCCCAAAATGTAAAGTGCACTCACTCAGAAAAGCTTGGGCCCCCGACCCCGACCTAAAGAACCGTATGAACTCTACACAGGTGATGGAGTCTCAAGGGTTGTACAGTAGCAGGTTTAGGTTTAGGGGTTTAGGGTTTTGGGTTTTGGGGTATTTAGGGCTTATAGGGTTTAGTGTTCAGGCAGTAAAGATACTGGTTTAGTGTTCCGGGTTTTAGGGTAGGGTGTTTACTGGTTTTATACATTTTGAGAGGGTAATGTACTGCTTCAGCAAGGCTTTGTTTGTAGCGCTTTATGTTGCTCATATCCCATACACAATGTATAGCATAAGATCCAGAGCTCCATATTTGCTGAAGAAACTTGGCCCTGAAGGAATTGACTATTGTGGAATTGTCCTCCCCCCGAGACCAGAATTAGAGTGGTCGTCTAGGGCTTAATTCCAAGATCGGAGTATCTTTCAACACCCCTGGATAATTAGTCGACCTGTATATTACCTCTGAGTCCCCAGACTCCATGGCTGTCAAGCCTATCAAACTCTACCTCGAGTAGCCAATGTACACTTCACAAAATGATATGACCGTTGAGAGTAGGTACACGTGTATTTATCGGTACCTTGGCTACAAACTCGACCCTAAACCCTAAACTGAAGCAGCCGGGACCAGGATTACAAGAAAGTAGCCCCAAGCGCCCATGCACTCATATCGTATATATGATATGTTGGCCTTTATTATGTGGTCCCTATATACATACTTTAGGGTCTATGCCATATGGCTTGTATATACTTTGGCCGTAATGTCGTCCCTATACAGATACCTTAGGGCCAAATGTTATGCAACGTGGATACATGGACCCCTGGGGGAGATGGATACTGGGATTCCCCTAAACCCTAACCCCTAAACCCTAGACTGGGATGGAGGCTTTAAAGGGTGCTGCATAGTTCTAGTACGGTTTCACACCCTAGCATTGGGGGGATGATGGTTCTAAGAAGATTTCGGCATACAACTAAACTATGTAGGACTACAGTGGCATAAACAATAATAATGTTCAACAAGACCTCTGTGTTGAAAATTAACTACATGATAAGGCAGCCCCTGTTCAATTTCCTTTTTTCAGGCTACTGCAATGTACTCCGGCCGAAGCAGGTCCACAGACCTGCACCTTGACCCTAGCCTCTGAGCGGAAAACTTCAAGCAAGTATGAAGAAACATCTGAAGAATCTGAAGGAAACCTTCAAGGAGGCCTTGACGGAACCCTTCAAGGAGCACTGAAAGGAGCCCGCACAGGAGCCCGGAGGAACCCTTGAAGGAACACCGTTTGTGGAGCATCAATTCCGGCCCAGAAACACAAGGACATCCGGCGTCAAGTCCAGAATAAAACTTCGTGATTTCTCCTTGGCAGCAGTGGTAACAGCTAGCAGCAGTAGTAGGAGTAGCAGTAGTAGCAGTAGTAGTGGAGGTGGTAGTGGTGGTAGTAGTAGTAGTAGTAGCAGCAGCAGCAGTAGCAGCAGGAGTAGCAGTAGCAGTAGCAGTAGCAGTGTAGCACCAGAAGTAGTAGCAGTTGTAGCAGTAGTAGCAGTAGCAGTAGCAGCAGCAGCCGTAGCAGCAGCAGCAGCAGCAGCAGCAGCAGCAGCAGCAGCAGCAGCAGCAGCAGCAGCAGCAGCAGCAGCAAGTAGTAGTAGTAGTAGTAGTAGTAGTAGTAGGAATAGTAGGGGCACGTGCCACAATTGACGCTGCGGTGTGGTGGTGATTCGACTGCATTTTCCTTAGTTTTTACAGTGGTTTCAGTAAACCAGAGGCAGGCGTGAGGAGGGTAGGGTTTGAAGTTTTGCTGAGTTTAGATAGTGTGGCAGTAGCTGCCATCATCATCATCATCATCATCATCATCATCATCATTGTCATCATCATGATCGAATCGCCATAATTAGCCATCATCACCATCATCACCGTCATCGTCATCATCATCATCATAACAACCATCATTAACAGCACCAAAGAGAAAAAGCTGTGAAGAACTTCCTTTCTGCATCCGGTGTGCCGGTGCGTACGCGTGTAGAAGGTGCCCACTCAGTTTGAAGTCAGGTGTTCTTTCCCCTGCACTGCCCGCCATGCAAAAAGAAGTTCTGTTTTCGGCGGTTGCGAGCAAAACTCATCTGCAGCGAACAGTAACCATCTTTGACAGGCTACTCCAGTTCGCCAAGGCGACCGTGGTCGAACTCAAGGATAAAGAAGCATCGATTTCGACATGGGGATCGGAACTTGAACCATCTCCTGCAAGGAATCCTAAACCCGAGAGCTTCAAGCCTAAAACACTGCATCCGACATCGCGAAACACGCGGCAGCCTAAGCCCGAATCTGCGCCTGCCGTGGAGAATAAGGATGTCGTCGCTGCTGATGCCAGACCAGTGTAAATGTGGCAGCAGCATACATCGTGGATGATGGGGCCATATCGGCCCCACTTGGACGGCTTGCTTGGCAGTCTTGCGGCGCTTGGGAGCAGGAGCACGCTTGCGCAACAGCTGTGGGCTAGCCTTCGGCCTGCCGTTCAGAGCGGTCACACTAGGCTCTTCAGGAGGCACGGGCACATGGGAATCGCAGGACACGAGGGACTTTGAGTCCTCGCAGAGGCCACTGTCGTCTGCGTTGACGAGGTCATCAACCTCACGATCCAGCGCTACTTGTGCTGCTTGCTGAGCGGCTGCCCGTTGTAAATGATCGCCGTGCAGGCATGCTCGCGGCAGGCGTTTCTGGCGGCATCCCTGTTTCGGAAGCCGTTGGCTTTGACGAAGGAAGTGGGGCCAAACCATCCTGGGTGTAAGGATTTCGGGTTGTGCGACCACTAACAGCAGTAGCTTAAGAGCCTAAGGGCTGGAGGGTTTAAGCGTTTAGGCTGCTGCTGCAAAAATGCTACCAACTTCAGTAGCAGACCTCAGACATGACGGACTGCACTTCTTCTTCCGACGAGAGCGCTTTGCAGCAAAAGACATCTCGACTTCCAGCAAACAATGTCGGTGTCTCCAAGGAGTTAAGCGTCTATCTCAAAAGCCAGTGCAATCATTCAATGATTGGTCTGAACCCATGAAAAGAACCAGAACAAGGCGTCCTTGAGAACAAATCTGCTCCAGAAGAAGATCCTCGTCAGTTGCTAGGGCGGCCCAATCGAGAGGATCCAGGAAAATGGTTGGAGGCAGCTTCTCCTTCCTGTCACCCGCCAGAAGGACTGCTGCGGTAGCTGGCAGTGCTCCATCTTCCGCTGGCGTCGGCAACACAGACTGCGGAACACCGTGGGTTGAAGGAGCTTCCTTCTGAAGGCGGCCAACTTGTTCGGCAGCAGGACTCTCAGGAAAGTGCGTGTCTTGATAAAATTTCAATCTTTTGGTGTGCGGACTGTCAAAGAAAGACAACGGAGTGTAGCCGCTGTGTGTCCAGCTGCACCGGCGAGTCAACGGCGAGTTGTCATCGGAGACAGAAAAAGCATACATGTTTACTGTCGAGCGGCTCTGGGTGGAGTGGTCAAGGCGGCATGTTCCTCAAGAACACTTTGTCCAGAGACCGGCTTCACTTCGAGCGTCTTGATGTCGGCAGCAGCGACTGAAGCCCCAGAGCGTTGAGCAATGCAGCCCTGGGTCGCCAAAAGCTGTTCTTTCAACCATTGCTGCGGACGGAACCAGAGATACATTCAGCATTGCCTGGCCAAGACACTGCAGAGACTCCAGAGCACAGCCGCTAGCCGCACGTGCAGACAAAACGTGCAGAAAGCAAGGTCGCTGTCCCTTTCTGCTCACGTGGCACATCATCCGAGCGCTTTCAAAAGTCGAAACCCGTCCCGCAGACCCGCAGAGACAGCCACGGAAGACCTCCACGACCATCCTCAAACGGCATCGCCATGCGCAGCAACGCCCCTACTCCATGCGCCCTGTGCAGACACCATCCCATGTGACAATCGAGTTCAGCTCATCGAAGTCAATCAACCAGGAACGCCGCAGGCTAGCGAGAGGCGGGCCTTCCCCGAGCAGACGAAACAGTAGGACGAAAGCTGCAGAACTCACCACCAGCCAGCGCAGGCCGATGTCTTCAGGGTCTGGAGCATCCATGACATCAGGACTTACGTATGCAGTTATTTATCTTTTGTAAAAAAATATATACATACATATGTCTATGGGAATAGGCATTTTGATGCAAAGGCTTGCTTTTATCTAAGAGTGCAGCGACATGACTGCACTGGGAAGTAGTCAGGATAATTGTGCACTTAAGTGGAACTGTGGCACTTCCAGCACGAAACCGCTGCGTCGACTCAGCAACTCAGGCAAGGCAGGAGCAGTATCTCTGAATGGCGCACCACACAGTGAAAGACCTACAAGTGCTTAGTGTTTCAGGTTTCTCTGAGGGCTCCGGGTGCACGGCGTTTTGTTGGCTGGTTTAGGATAGTGATATTCATGATGACGTAGGGATGATTTTGATGATGCTGTTAATGATGATGTTCATGATGATTTCGATGATGATGTTCATGATGATATTCATGACGATGTTCATGATGACCTTGGGGTGATGTTCATGATGATTTGGGGGTGATGCACATCGCTTTGTGCAGAGAGACGCCATCCTGAACGTTCGGCGGCGCTGGGGGCTCCAAGGCAAGTTGGCAGGAGTTGGTTGCACGTGGATGTTGTGATCCTCTGGGAATGCACCCACTGCCCACTGCGGTACGCACCGCCTGGTTCTGAGGGAGACCAAGAAACGCAGCAAGAAAGACAAGCTCTTTGCCGCATGCCGGACAACACACAAGTAAATGAACGTCCTGTACCGGAGTGTTTTCGAGGCACAAGGCTGACGCTCGCGGAGTTGCTAGAGACTCTCGAGGCTTACACGCGGCTACCTTTGATGCCGAGACCCACAGGTGATGCACTGGCCAGGCAGACCGGGCTTGGGAATCCCATGTAGCGGAAACTTGCTTGAAGTCAGAAAGCCTTGTGGGCCAGAATCGGAACAAGCATCCGATCTCTAGCTCCGTTGTGGAGATGCGCGCTGTCGCAATGCGGAAGACTTTCTGCAGCTCAGACAATCGAGTCTTCAAACGAAGCCTTTAAGCTGCCGGTGCCAAAGTCGGCAAAGAGGCTTGGCAGGCTTGCAAGGTCCATGTTCGTGATGCAAGTGTCTGCATTCTTGGAGGACGCTTGCTGGCTTTGGGGTTCTAGCGTGTCCATCATCATCAAAATCATCATCAACATCATTTGTGTCTGGGGTTTCCCCAGAGTTGCGGCGTGGAGTTTTGAGGCGAAAAAAATTCTCAAGAGTTTGGGTCAAGTTATGGGGCGCAGCTGCCAAAAAGAGAGCCAAGTTGGACCGAGAAGAACGT